CGTCGGGCCGGCGCGCGGCTGGGAGAGCGGAGACCTGGAGTTGTTCGACTTGGTGGAGGAGGTGCAGCTCAACTTCTACCAGTTCCTCGGGGTGCAGCAGGTAAGTGCGGAAACGCGCCGGCCGGCCGGAAAGAGGTGGTGCGCGCTTGGACCCCGATTCTGCCGAGAGAGCTGGGCACGAGGGCAGGACTGGTCACTCCGGGTTCGCCTGCCCTTCTCGGCTCGATCACCGGGGGCTCCTGATAACCCCGGTCCGGGGAGGACTTGTCCGCCTTCCCCAGTTCCTCAGCCCGGCTCCAGCTTCTCAAGTTCCGGTCTCAGTGACAGGCTGGAATTGCTACCAGCCTGGGGGTGGTGATACCTTCTCTGTGCTCTGGGATTCTAGGGAATATCCCTCCCCCATCTGTGCTGGAGGAAGAAAAAATGTGGGGTTACATCTTCTACACTTCCCGTTTCCTCTCCTGCCCCACCTCCCAGCCCCTGCGGGTGAGAAGGAGCGACCAGGTCTCACTCTCAATTGTCATCTTCCCACTTACACGTATTCTTATTTCAGCCGCCTCGTTTCCTCCTTTCCGGGAAGACGGGAGTGTAATTTGGCCAGTGTCTGTGTTGCAGAAATGTTTCTTGCATTGGACTTTGTAGTTCTTTTTAGCGAGTTTGGGGCTCCTATCACAGTTTAGAATCTGGAGGAATGTGAAGAATCTACCAGGTTGGTCCTGGAACTCACTGGAGGAGCTCCTAATCTTTTAGGGCAATAGAAGTACTTGGGGTACTATTGAAAGAGAATCCTAGGATTATTTTCTTTCTTTTCCTTTTGTTGCATTTCCATTTTAGCTTGAGTTCTTAAAATTGATTTGTTAATTTTTGTTTTCACCATTGATGGGTTGAGTGAAAGGAGAAAGCCAGTCTCTACTAGAAGCCTAGTGCCGGGGAGGAGATGACGTTTCACTGATTTCAGGATTATACGGGAAAGACTGAGAATTTCAATGATCTGATTGTGCCCTTCATACAATGATTTGGATAGTTGCATAGATTTTAAAAATTGAGGTTTACCCTTAGTTATGCAAGGCACACCTCCCTCCGCATAGGTTATTGTAAATTTGAGTGAACTAATTTACAATAAATGGGAATTTAATTTTCGAACATTACATCTTCATTCCATCATTGAATATAAAGTTGCTGGGCTTCCATGGCACCATGAGTTTATAACTCTAACAAAAATATAAAATTTCACATTGCAAATTCTTTTGTGCCAACAGTTTTATAATAACTATTGATACGTTTGTGATGTTACCTGGTTCCACTTTCTGACAGACAAATGTATCTCATTTTCAAAGCAGATGATGTGATAAGTGTAAAAATAGAATAATTAGCAAAACCATAACTCTAAAGATTTACTTTAGAGTTAATCTTGGGACCAGCTGTTGGCATGGTGGTTGGTGTGATGGACTCCCATATGACTCACTGCAGTTCAAGTCCCAGACCTGGTGGCTTGCTTTCTTACTTTTCCTTCTCTCTGTGTCTCTCTCTTTGGTGAGCACATGCGTTGTATAGCAAGCTTAGAAAATAAAAATAATAATAAATACTTTTGAAAAAGATTAACTTTTAAGAATACCTTTAATCCTGGAAATAATTGTTTAGGATTTGTCATGACTGATTAAATTCTGTAGTTAGAGTCTTTTACATAACTTACCCAAAGATAAGAGAGAGCTGGGCACGGAGGGCAGGGCTTGGACACTCTGTGCTCTGGCTGCCCTTCTCGGCTCAACCACCAGGGTCTCCTGATAACCCCAGTCTGGGAAGGATTTGTCCACCTTCCACAGTTCCTCGCCCTAGCTCTAACCTCTCAAGTTCTGGTCTCAGTGACAGACTGGATTACTACCAGCCTGGGGATAGTGATATCTTCTCTTTGCTCTGGGATTCTAGGGAATATCCCATCTCCTGTCTGTGCTGGAGGCAGAAGAAAGAATGTGTGGGTTACATCTTGTACACTTTCTGTTTCCTCTCCTGGACTTGCTTTTGAACTTGTTTTCAGATCCATGGAAAATTAAGTCTCTTTAAGAGAATACAAACAGTAGCTATAGTTTAAAATTTAGAATATATAATCTAGCTTTGCATGTGGACTCATAGCATTTTTTGTTTATAATTTCATGCAACTTAATTTGCTGAGTTAATGAGATAGTGTGAACAGCTAGAGCACTTAACTGTACAGGCAGAGATGGGAAAATAAAGAAGCCTAGATAATCAAGAAGTTTCTCCATTGAGATAGCATTTAAAAAGAAGAATCTAGAAAATTGTTTTAATCTCTATTTCTGTATCTAGCTGTGTTGAAATTGGAACGAATGCCAGAAGGAATTTTATTCTATCCAAGCAGAGAAACATTGGAACAAATTCTTTGTTTTATGTTGAACCTTAACTTTTTGGGAAAACTTTTAGAGAGCCAGAAATAAAGACGTAGCGGTTGTGTCTCTGGACTCCCACATGGCTGACTGCAGTTTGAGTTCCAGACCCGGGGGCTTGAAAATCACTTTGGGCGTGTGCATGCGTGCCCAAGATCCCAGGACAAGAATGGAGGAGAGGGGATTGTGGTGTGGCCATCCCTCTTGGGGGGTGATTTCTCATTTTCCCTCTTCCTGTCTCTGTTTCTCTCTCTCTGGCAAGCACACAGACCTGTGGCAAAAACCTCAAAAAGAAAAAAAAAAAAAAAAAAAAACAAACTCATACTGAGGTCTTTAATGTGTAATTTTCAAGCCAGTGCCCAACAGTCTCTTGGTAACTAGCCAGTTATGAGGGTCCAGAACACAGTAGGTAGGCTACTTAGTGACCTGGCTCTAAGCATTAATCAGTTTTGTTGTTGTTCATTCAACAGAGATTTATCTGGTGCCTGCTGGATTTTATGCATTAAGAATTGGCCTTTATATAAAACACAATCTCTTATCCTCATGAAACTTGCAGTTTAGTAGTGGGAAAAAATAATAAATAATGGGATAAGTAAATATAAGGACTTAGGGAGCAGGCCATGTGGATAATTGGTATGCCTTGATCGGTCTGGGCTACTATAACAAAATGCTATGAACTGGATAGCTTTTCAACAACCAAAATTTATTTTTCAGTTCTTAAAATAGGAAGTCAAAGATCAGGGGCAGGCAGATTCTTTGGTGAGGGTCTTTTCGTTCATAGAAAACACCTTGGTGTGTCTTACCATGGCGACAGGAAGGCAGCTCTCTGGGGCTTGTTTTCTTTTCTTTTTTTCTTTTTTGGAGAGATTTTTGCTATAGGCCGCATGTGCTCACCAGAAAAACAGAGGGAGACGGAGAGACAGAAAGCGAGAAATCAGCCCCCTGGGGGAATGGCCACGCCGCAATCCCCTCTCCTACATTCTCTTGGGATCCTGGGCATGCATGCACACGTGCCTGGCGTGAGTTTAAGCCACCAGGTCCAGAACTCCAACCGCGGTCGGCTACATGGGAATCCAGTGACATTACACTAGCTGCTGGTCCCTGGGGCTTGTTTTATAAGGGCACTAATCCCATTCATAAATTTCCACCCTCATAACCTATTCACTTTCCAGTGGCTTCCCCCCTTCATACCATTACATTAGGGGTCAGGTTTTAACATACGAACTTTCTCTCTCTCTTTTTTTTTTTTGAGAGGTTTTTGCTGTGCGCTTGCCAGGAAGACAGAGAGAGACAGAGAGACAGAAAGCGAGAAATCACCCTCCAGGGGGGATGGCCACACCACAATCCCTTCTCCTCCATTCTCCTCTCGGGATCTTGGGCACGCACGTACATGCACCCAGCGTGAGTTTAAGCCACCGGGTCCGGGATGCGAACCGCAGTCATTACGCTAACTGCTGATCCCTTAGCATACGAACTTTGAAAGGACACAGATATTCAGATCATAGTATGGTAGAAGAGCACTCAAGGAAGAGCAGACGCAGGTGCAAAAGCAGGAACTTACTTAGTGTTTGACGAACAGCAAGGCAGCCAGTATGGGTGGGACAGGACAGAAAGCTCAAGAACAGTAATAGGAGGGGGTCAGAGGAAGATTATGTAGGGCTTTGTAGGCCATTACTTTGGCATTTACTTTCAGGTATCTTGAGGATCCAGTGATTGGTGGGGGCAGGGAATTGAACAGAACAGATTTGACTTAAATTTCAAAATGATCACTTTATTGTGATGAGGATTGACTGGAAGGCTAGAGCTGACAGGATTTTGCTGATTTTTTAAAATTGTTTTATTTAACTTTATTTATCTATTTATTTTAATGTAACCAGAGAGAGAGGAAGTGAGAAAGCAAGCTGCCAGATCTGGGACTCGAACTGCAGTCAGCCATGTGGGAGTCCAGCGCCCTTAATCACCATGCTACCTGCCAGTCCCATTGCTGATGGTTTTAACATGGGACATAAAAAAAGAGAGAGAGAAATTGAAGATCATTCTAAAGATGTTGACTTCAGTAACTTAAAAGGATGCAGTTGCCATTTAATGAGATGGGAAGACCTAGAATAGGAGTCTAGTTGGGGGAAAAATCAGGAACTTGATTTTGGTTAAATTTGGGGTGTTTGCTGAATATTCAAGTGGAGCTGGTGTATAAGTGATTGGTTATTCAGGTGTGAGTTACAGGGAAAAGGTTTGGGCTGTAAATATTGGGAGTCTCTGCCACATTTGGGCTATAAATATTGGGAGTCTCTGCCACATGCAGGGTAATTTGAAGCCACAAAATTGGATGAATTCAGGCCAGCAGGTGGTGTGGATTTCCACATGGTTGACTGGTTTGAGTCCTGGACCTGGTAGCTTGAAATTAACCTTGGTGTATGTACATACATTCCCAAAATCCCAGGAGGAGAATGGAGGAGAAGGGATTGTGGCGTGACCATCACCCCAGAGGGGTGATTTCTCACTTTCCTTCTCACTGCCTCTGTCTCGCTCTCTGGCGAGCACATGTGCCGCTATGACAAAAAAACTAACAAACAAAAAGTGGGAATTCACCAAGGGAATGAAAGTAAAAAGAGAAGAGAAGTTGTTTGAGAGTCAAGCCCTAGAGACTCCAAACTTCGACAGTCAGAGAGATGAAGATGAACCCACCTAGGAGATGGAAAAG